CTGGTGTAAATCAGGAGACTCCTCTGGGGTCAGTGGGCTGATCCGCACTTTGCACACGCTGGTGTAAATCAGGAGACTCCCCTGGGGTCAGTGGGTCAGGTTCAGCTCCTGCTCACCCCAGTGTAAATCTGGAGTAATCTCGATGGAGTCGATGGCTCATAGTTTCCTCTCTGTGTAAATTCAAGCTCACTGCTGGCCCAGCCCTGTGAGCCAACTTCCGCGGTGCCCAGCACAGCCTGGGTCCTGGGGCTGCTGCTTTGGATGGGCACAGCCCCCGTGCAACCTTGGGACTACTGTAAGATTTGGTTCAGGGCCACAAGGTGCTGGGGGTCGGGGCTGGGACCATGCGCCCCACCCCTTTGCCAGGCCCCTGTGTTGAGGGAGGGGTGTGGCATAACATCAGCGCCTTACACACTGTAGCTGGGCATCGCCCCTCCGCCAGGCGAGGCCATGCCCCATGCATGCAAGGGCTTCAGTCTGCACTGTCACAGGGTACATCTCACTTGCTTTTCACACACAGTGGGGGAGGAGGAGCTGCACAGACTTCATCAGTGTGTATGTGCACACGTGTGTGAGTGTGTATGGGTGTGTCATCCTGTGTGTGTGTGTGTGTGTGTGTGAGAGAGAGAGAGAGCATGTATGGGTGCGTCGGCCTGAGTGTGTGTGCCTGTGTGTGTGTGAACATGTCTGAATCAGCCTCTGTGTGTGTGCAGAGTGTGACCAATGGGTGTACAGTGTGTGTTTGTGTGTCCATGACAGCATGTTTGCATGGGTCTGTGCATGTCATCCTGCATGTGTCTGTGTGTCCTTAGGTGTTTATGCAAGTTAGGGTGTGTGTCAGCAAATGTTTCTCTGTGTGCATCAGTATGTATTTGTGTGTATGTTAGTATGTGTGTAGGTTTTTGCATATATTAGCATGTGTGTGCATGTGTCTCTATGTATGTTTGTGTGTCAGGGGGTGTGCATGGATGGTTAACTCTTCCCCTCTGCCCTGTCCCTCCTGAAGCCTGGTGGCCCTGAGATGCAGGCATAGCAAAGGATGGGCACAGAGCCAGGATTTGACCATCCCCCTTTTCCCTTTTGCCACTCCTTTCCTTCTCGCCCTGCCCCTCGCCCTGCCCCTTTCTCACCTGGACAGGTGCCGGTGGAGCACGCCCATTCCCCTCCGGCCTTGCCTTTCCCGATGCGCAGGCCCCCTTACCCACAGGGAGGGGCATGGTGGGTCCTCTCCAGAGCTCCTTCCTGCCAGGGTTGAGCTGGGCTTTGAGATCTGAAGAGTGTGTGTGTGTGTGGGCAGGGGAGCCAGGCCTGCCAAGGTGTGCACTTGGCTCTGAAGCAGTGTCCTGGAGTTACAGAGAGGGGTTGAGAGCCAGGGTTCCTGGGATCTATTCCTGGCTCAGAGAGGTGAGTAGCGCCAGGAGTACTATGTTCCCTCTGAGCTGCATGGGCAGCCAGCTGCACAGTTCTCTGATAAGCTCAGCCTGACAAGGGTCAAACAATGAGGCGGCAAAACTCGCAGATGACACAAAACTGCCAAAGATAGTTAGAACATAAGAACGGCTGGACTGGGTCAGAACAAAGGCCCATCTAGCCCAGTGTCCTGTCTGATGACAGTGGCCAGCACCAGGTGCCCCAGAGAGGGTGGACCGAAGACAATGATCAAGTGATTTGTCTCCTGCCACCCATCTCCAGCCTCTGACAGAGGCCAAGGACACCATTTTAAGTCCAAAGCAGACTGCAAAGAGCTTCCAAAGGATCCCCAAAACTAAGTGTCTGGGCAACAAAAGGGCAGGTGAATTTCAATGTCAATAAATGCAAAGTAATAACTATTGGAAAACATGACCCCAATTATGCATATGAAATGCTGGGGACCAAATTAGCTGTTACCACCCAAGGTGAGATGATCGTGGTGTCACCATGGCTAGTTCTCTGCAAACATCTGCTCCATGTGCAGCAGCAGCAACAAACAAACAGAAAGTTAGGCATAGTTAAGAAAAGGACAGAGATTAAACCAGAGAACATCTCATTGTCTCTGTATAAGTCCATGGGACGCCCACATCGTGAATACTACGTGCAAATGTGGTCACCTCATCTCAAAAAAGATCTATTGGCATTGGAAAAGGTTCAGAAAAGGGCAACAAAAATGATTAGGGGTTTGGAACAGCATATGTGGAGAGATTAATAAGACTGGGACTTTGCAGGTTGTAAAAGAGATGACTAATAGAGGTCTATGAATTCATGACTGGTGTGGAAAAAGTAAATAAAGAGGAGTTATTTACTCCACCCATAACACAAGAACTAAGGGTCACCAAATGAAATTAAGAGGCAGCAGCTTTAAATCAAAAACAAAAGGCAGACTTTCTTCACACAAGGCACCTTTGACCTGTGGAACTCCCTGCCGGAGGATGTTGTGAAGGTCAACACTTTAACAGGATTCAAAAGAGAACTAGATACATTCATGGAGGATAGGTCTATTAGCCAGGATGGGTAGGGATGATATCCCTAATCTCATTTGTTAGAAGATGGGAACGGATGACACCTGCGAAAATCAGAGGTGGGCAAAAGGGTCTCTGCAGGCCGGATCCAGCCCACCAAGTGGGTTGATCCACCCCGCAGAGATCCTGCCACTCCTCTACCCCCAGGCCAATTAGGGTCTGGCGTCAGGGGAGCACGCAAAGCTTCCTCCTGCCCTGCCAGGAGAACGTGGTGCTTTGAAGCGGTGTGTGCTGCTCACAGGGCGGGAGGAGATGACACGTGCTCCCCTGCCCCCAAGCCCTGATTGGCCTGAGGGGAGGGGAGCTGAGCAAAGTTTCCTCCCTCCTCCACCCACCCTTAGGGTTGCCAGGTGTCTGGCTTTGAACCGGACAGTCCAGTATTTGAGTTTTCTGAAACAAACTGAGAAAATAGAAATGAGAAAATAGAAATGTCCGTTAGTTTCTAACTAAGATGGAATGTAGATTGTGACGTGATGTCAAGTGTCCGGTATTTTTGTTGAAACCATCTGGCAACCCTACGCCGCCCTGCAAGGAGTGAGCGGCACTTCAAAGTGCCGTACACTTGTGCAGGGCGGGGGCAGGGAGAAGGACGTTTTGTGCAGCTCCTCTGCCCCCAGGCCCTGATTGGCCTGCAGGTGGGGGAACGTGTGAAGGGGGGGGCAAAAGGGCTCCCCTACCCCCAGACCAATCACGGTCTGGGGAACCCCAGAAGCATTCTGGCTCTGCCCCTTCTGGTTTAGACCCCGCCCCTTCTAGGGCAGCCTGGGCCCACTTCAAAAATGTTTTTGAAGCGGCCCCTGGCCAAAAACTATTGCCCACCCCTGGCAAAAATGTCCCGTGGCTATCCACAGCCATGGATGCGGATACCCTCAGACACAGAGCAGATTTGCAGGGATGTACAGCTCAGGAGTGGGGTTGGAGGAGCAAATCTCTCCCTCAGCCAACCTGGAGCTGCCTCAGAGCTGCTGTGGTTGGGCGACCCTTCCCTGACTTGCACCCAGCTTAGTCTGGACCTTCCCTGGCTGCAGGACAGGCTCCTTCCCCCGCCTGTGCCCCCTGGAGCTGCAGTGGCCATACAGGGGCGCCTCTCACGGGGTTCCAAGCTGTTGCAGTGGGAGAGGGCTGGGGCAGTCCTCTCTTCCCAGGGCAACCCACACCCTGGACCCAGCCCCAGCCCAGAGCTCGCACTGCCAGTCAGAGCCCTCACCCCACAGCCCAACCCTCTGCCCCAGCCCTGAGCCCCCTCCCACAGCCCCACCCCTTGGCACCACCCCACCACGTGCTGTCCGAGTGTGGAATGACTTGCGTCATGTGACCTCCCTCTCAGCACATAGCACACGGGGACACAGAACATTGGCGGGATCGTGGCGGCAGTGTCCTGGCTCACTGAGGTAACCACAGCACCTGGGCCCAGCTCTCTCACTCCTGATTGTAACTCCCTTGCGGGACTCCTCAGCGCTACACTCAGAGGCACGTTGGCCCAGCAGAGCTGTGTGAGGGGCAGCCTGGGGCTGAGATGGCGGGTGTGTGTCAGGCCTCAGGGGCACAGGCAGAGCAGTGTGTGGGTTACTGAGGGCTTTAGCCATTGCCGTTTGTTCTTTTCCACCGCTATGGTACATAAACGCAGCTCCAAGCCTCCTAGAGCTGCTGGCGTGGTTACCCCTCTCTGTCCCTCTCCCTTCAGACCCCAGCACGGCCGCCCACATGGGCCGGGAGTTCATCACGGCCTTCATGGAGAATTACCAGATCAGCTACTCTAAGGCTGACTTCCAGCTCTTTGTTTCTGGCTACGCACCCTCCACCACCGTCACCATTGTGGTGCGTAAGTCCCAGTTCCACTCCACGATCCAGCTTGGCCAGGGACAAACGGTCTCGGTGAAGATTCCAGCCAATGCTGAGATGTTCGGCACCACCAAGTTCTGCAACACCGTCCTGGTGCAGGCGGACAAGGAGGTCTCGGTGATGTCGCTCAGTGCCAAGGCGCTGACGACCGACACCGGGGTGGTGTACCCGGTCCAGAGCCTGGGTGTAGAGTACTACATCCTCACGCCAGCTGGAGACGTCCCTGGGACCTACAAAGAGTTCTCAGTCGTGGCCTGGCGGGAGACCACGACAGTGGAAATCTACCTGAAGGGCAGTGTGAGGTTCCAAGAGCGGATCTACCCGGCTGGCAGCAAGATCACTATGTCCCTGGAGCCCTACGAGGCTGTCCAATTCCAGAGCAGCCAGGACCTCTCTGGCACCCGAGTCGCGTCCCTGAAACCGGTGGCAGTGCAGAGCGGGCACAGCTGTGCCCAGAGGAACACCAAGTGCAACTATGTGGCTGAGCAACTGCTGCCTGTCTCTGGGTGGGGCACAGCTTTCTTTGTGCCACCGATGCCCTTCCAGGCCAGCGACGATCTGGTGTACCTGGTGGCCTCCCAAGCCACACAGCTCACCTACCTCTCTGGCAAGGACAAAGGTAGCCAGGCTCTGGTGTCTGGGCAGGTCCTGCAGTTGAAGGTGAGTCTGGCCAGCCCACTGTACATCTCCGCCAGCGTCGGCATTCAAGTCTTCTTCTTCTGCACCGGCGGAGCCCAGGGCACCGTGAGGTATGACCCCTTCTTGGTCAGCATCCCAGACGTCTCCAGCTACTGCGCCTCCTACTCCGTCTTCACCCAGCAGGGCTTCGAAAACTACGTGGTCCTTGTGGCCAAGAGCACGCTGATGGCTGGCATCACCATGGACGGGCAGCCCCTGCGAGGGGCGCGCTGGAGACCGATCCCCGGCACCGAGTATTCCTGGGGAGAGCTCGGCCTGGGCGTCAGGGCCAGCGCCCGCTCGCTGGAGCATCCCAGCGACACCTTTGGGCTGCTGAGCGTCGGCCTCACTCAGCAGGATGGCTATGGCACGGCTGCTCTTTGCCAGAGCGGTGAGTGAGGGGGGGTCTGAGGGAAAGGGGGGCCCTGGGCTGTGTCTGGGGCTTTTATGCTGTTGTGGGTGTGAAATCTTAAGGTGCTGGGCAGTGTGACTGTCCCTATGGGGGACCCCATGCGGTGTCTGCAGCGCTGCATAGGGAGCATGGCACCATCCAGCCATGGTCATTTAATGAGCATTGACAGCAAAGTCCCTCCCTCCGTCCATCCATCCATCCTCTCCAGCTGACCCTGCCAACCATTCATATCTCCCTACTTCACCCTTGTATAATGCTCTGTTATAAAGCCCCATCTACCTGCTCTAAGGCACTGGGCCACCAGGTCAACCCACTGGACCCTATAATTTGACCTGATGCCCATATGCTTCCTGTTATGATGTCGTTCCTATCTCTGCACTTGCCCTTTCCTTCTCATCCTATCCCCAGCCTCCCCGGTGCCCTCCTGCAGCTCTGTGCAGTGCCGGAAGAAGGAGACCTGCCAGATTACCAATGGCAGACCCCTGTGCGTGGCCACTTCTGTGGCGACTTGCTGGGCACTGGGTGATCCCCACTACCGCACCTTTGATGGGCGCCACTACGACTTCATGGGCACCTGCACCTACACCCTGGCCAAGACCCTCAGCTCGGATACCACTCTCCCAGCCTTCCACGTCATGGCTAAGAATGAGAACCGGGGCAACCAGCGAGTCGCCTATGTGGGCTTTGTGACTGTGCAAGTCTACGGCTACACCCTCTCCGTGGTCAGGAACGAATACGGGCTTGTGAGGGTAAGAGAGAGCCTGCCCCCTTTCATTCGTCTCTGTCCATCAAACTTTTCTTGGATTTTCTCTTTGTTTATTCTTTGTCTTCATTTCTCTTGCTCCCTTCTCATAGCTTTCTTCATTTTTCCTTCTTTTCTTTGTTTCTTCATTACTCTTCCTTTGCTTCATATTTTTCTTTTCTTTTCTTTTCTTTTCTTTTCTTTTCTTTTCTTTTCTTTTCTTAAAATAATTTTTGGTTGAAACAAAAATAAATTAGAAATGTTTGGCAAATTGGCAAGCTGATTTTTTTTTGTTTTGGGCTAAACAAAATCAGCAGCTTTTCCGGAAAAACTTGCCAGCTGTCTACACTGGCTGCTTGAATTTCCGCAAAAGCACTGACCTCCTACTGTAAGAAATCAGTGCTTCTTGCGGAAATACTATGCTGCTCCCGTTCAGGCAAAATTCCCTATTGCGCAAAACTTTTGCGCAAAAGGGCCAGTGTAGACAGCTGAGATTTGTTTTCCGCAAAAAAGCCCCGATCGCAAAAATGGCGATCGGGGCTTTTTTGCGGAATAGCGCGTCTAGATTGGCACGGACGCTTTTCCACAAAAAGTGCTTTTGCACTGAATTCCTTCGGTGTCACCAAATCTGCTTTTTTTCCCCTGAAAAAATATTTCAGTTGAAACTTTCTCCCAGCTCTGTTGCCGAGCAGGCCTGGGGGTTCACCTCACAGGGTCCCATCATGAGCAGCAGCAGATGTCCCCGGGGAAGGTGCATGGAACCTGTGCAAGGTGGTGGCAGATTTACCTGCCCTGGGAAACACGAAGTGGTTCAAGGTGAAGTGGGTTCTCTTGGGTGGGCTGTGGCCTGGGCTTGTTTTTAAGGACGTGGCTGTTGGGAATAGGCCGTGAACTATGACCATGACTTGTGCTTTCCCTCCTAGGTGAATGCCCAGCGGTCCCGCCTCCCCATCTCCTTGATGGAGGGGAAACTGAGGCTGTATCAGAGCGGGGCCTCTGTGGTCATCCAGACCGACTTCTCCCTGAGTGTCTCCTACGACTGGGGCAGCTCCCTGGTGGTGAAGCTCTCCAGCAGTTTCTGGGAGAGCGTGAGCGGCCTCTGTGGCAACTACAACGGGGACCCTGGGGACGACTTTGCCACCCCAGCTGGGACGCTGGCTGCCAGCCCTGTGGAGTTCGGGAGGAGCTGGAAGGTGGAGGACGGGGACAGGTTCTGCTGGGACGACTGCCATGGGCAGTGCAAGAGCTGTTCCCCGGAGCAGGTCGGCAGGTACAAAGCGGAGCCCTTCTGTGGCTGGATCACCAAAGGGGCGGGCGGCCCCTTCAGCCGATGCCACTCCATGATCGACCCCAAAATCTACCTGGACAACTGTGTCTATGACCTGTGCATGAACGACGGGCGGAAGGAGATGCTGTGCCAGGCGCTGGCGAGCTATGCTGATGCCTGCCGGGCCGAGGGCGCGGCCGTCTCTGACTGGAGGAGCCTCACAGGATGCAGTGAGTGGCGCTGACCCCTGGTTTGATCCTGGTAGCTGGTACCAAAGAAATCCAAACCACGGTGGCTCAGGGGATGGGGCATTGTGTCTTCTCCCTCGATGGGGTGCCGGCTCCCCTCCAGCCCCAGGGTGGGTGACTGCTTGGCTCCGCGGAGGGCTTGGAATGGGGCACAGAGCCTGTCCCCTCTAGAGGAAACACTGTCAGGAGATGGGCTGTGGTTAGGGGAACATGTCGGCCCGTTTCTGTGGGGGAATTGGTGGCTGATCCTCGTTATAAAGTCCTGCTAATGAAGGGTGGGAGAGCATGGACCCCTGGGTCGGTGGCTTGCTACCCCCATCTGTCGCCTCTCAGCGCTGTAAACGTTGGGGTGAAACTGCCCTGAATAAAGAAGTCAAGCCACCCTTGACCCCACCAATGCTTCCAGCGGGACCAAGACCAAGCTGTGCCTGGGGGGCTCTGCTTCCAAGCAGTGGGGGCAGGGGAAAGGCTTGGGCCACAGAGAAGGCTGCAGGGAGTAGACTAGGGGCAGGGGTCTATGGGAGGCAGAAGGGGAACGGAGAGATCTGGGGGGCAGAGGAGGAGCAGTGCTGGGGCACGCAGAGTTGGGGAGCAGAGCGTGGAGGGGAGAAATGTGGGAGAGCAGATGAGCAGAAAGCTGGGGGTCCAGGAGGGGCTGCGGTTGGGGGGCAGGGAGGAGAAGATGGGGAAGAAGGAGGGGTAGCAGGGCCTACTCCCAACAACCCAACAGAGCCCACCCCCTCCATCAGGGGGCCAAGGGGTAGGGTCCTCCCCCCCCAAGTGGAGATTACCTAGCATTGTGTCCCCCTCTCCCAGGGCTGTTTCCTGGACTCTGGCATGTGGTATTCATCACCTGCTGGGAGGTGTTAGTGGTGCTTGAGGGTGGGGTGGGCGCTGCTGAAAACTCAACCGGTCCCCACCCGACACAAGATGTGTATTTAATGTAACTTGCAAAAGTTCCAAAGTTCTGACCCATCTCTCCATGTTCCGGTGGGCCGGCCAGGGGATTGTGTTAAGTGTTGGGCTTGGGGAGAGCACAGACCTTTGGTGCTTGGGCTGAAGGGGTGCTCCCTCTCCATGGGCAGCAGTAGTAGATCTCTTATCCTGCCTCTGAGACTGATGCATGAAGCTGCAGCATGCGCCAGGTGCAGCACTGCTCCCAATGACCCCCGTGTCCCATCCCTCTTCCAGCTCTGCCCTGCCCGGAGAACAGCCAGTACCAGCTCTGCGGCTCTGCCTGTCCTGCCACCTGCAATGACCGACTGCGTGGAGACCTGCCAGTGCCACGAGGGTTTTGTTTTGGATGCCGGGAGGTGCATCCTCCAGACCAGATGCGGGTGTGAGTTTGAGGGCCGCCTCTACGCGCCCGGGGAGCAGTTCTGGGGAGATGGTGCCTGCACGAGACGCTGTGTCTGTGACCCGCAAACCAGGAGGGCAAGCTGCCACGTCGCAGGGTGCCGGGCCGGGGAGCAGTGCCAGGTGCAGAACGGCATCCAGGACTGCTACCCCACAAGCTATGGAACCTGCTCAGCTTCGGGGGACCCCCACTACATCAGCTTTGATGGGAAGAAGTTTGACTTCCAGGGCACCTGCCTGTATCAGTTCGCTGGGCTGTGCAACAAAAGCCAGGACCTGGTGGATTTCCAGGTCCTTGTTCAGAACGACCATCGGGGAAGCCGCGTCGTGTCCTTCACCAAAGTCGTGCAAGTCAAAATCTATGAGGTCGACATTGTGATCAGAAGGGAAAACCCCGGCAGAGTCCTGGTGAGTTTATCAAACCATTCTTCCCTTTCCTGGTTGGTCTTCAGACCTGTCTTCCTTTGCCATCTTCCTCCCTTCCTCTCTCTTTGTGTTTGTATATGTCGGAAGTCCCCCCTAACAGGTAACGTGCTCTGTCCAATGATGATAATCATTTGGCTGAATGCTTGGCCCCTCTGTGTGTCATGCTGGCTTTACGCAAATAGCTAGCACAGCAGACTCTGAGCGAATCCTCAAGCACCACAGACTCAGATAAGGTACAGAGGCCCCCGAGTCAGATTTATTATAAACGAAGCACAGCAATAGCTTCCCTGGACCAGACATCTACAGTTGGGCTAAGAACATGTGACCGTGGAAATGGACACATCGTCGTCAGTAGCCGGGGATCTGCCACTTCCTCCCAACGAGTGACGTCGAGGTGCCCAACATTTATAGAGTGAGACAATCAGCCTATGACATACACCTTCCACGGCATCGTGCGCGCTAGTGACTCGTCTGTTACTCTTCTTGTGTTTTCCTCCAAAACTTTCCTGCCCCCGGCTGCTCTGCTTTCGCTCCTGGTGGTCCAGACAAATATCACTTTTGTCAAACGAAGTTATGGTGCGCTAGGCTGGGGTGTCCTTGCTGCCCTGCTGGAGTGTGTTCACATGTGCCGTGTGTGGATGCAGTGCGAGCAGTCCTAGTGCCGACATTGCCCGGACACCGACTCGCAGGCCAACATCTGCTTTGACAGGGCCTGTTTCTCGCGGCATAGCTCTTGCTGACTGGTTCAGGCCTCAGGCCTTATGCCAGGCCCAGGCCTTATGCCAGGCCCATGCTTTAGGCTCCTTCTCTCTCCTGCAGCGTTCACATGTCATCTTCTCTCCGGAGTTTGCTCATTTTACCTTTTCCTTTACCCAGGACACCATGGGCGGCAGATGTCATAGGCACGGGGAGGCTAAGCCTCACCCGACAGCCTGGCCTGCCCCGACACATGGTCCCCAACCTGCCTGCTCTCAGTTTTCCCTTTCACTGGGGCTGGGGCATCTGGCCTGTGGCTGGGACTCAGGGCAGTGGGGCTGTGCTACCCGCCCACCCAGCTTGCACACCAGGGCTGAGAGTGGCGAGGGCCATACTGCTAGTCTGGCATGATGGATGGAGGGGGGCTGCTGGGACCACAGTGCTTGCCACCCTACCTGACTTGGGGTGGCTGGGGCTGTACCACCCACGCACCAGGTACACCAGACTGGAGACTGCTGGGGCTATGCTGATGCCCTGGGACAGAGGGCAGCACCACCCAGCTGCCTGCTCAGTGCTCTGGGGTTCAGCATAAAAAGTATTATTGTTTGGTGTTCCGTGGTCTCAAAACGTTTAAGAAACACTGCTCAAGGCAGTGGATTTCTATTACAGGGAGCTGTAGTCCGCCAAGGAGCCCAGCCCATCTGTGAGCATGGGGAGTGGAACTACAACTCCCATAAGGCAATGCACAGCAGGGACCAGACTCTTCATTTCTTTTTTACTGATTCACAGTGAAACCTTGTGGGTCAGTTAAAAAATGAAATATTCCAGTTCAGGTCCCACTGACCTACAATGAATGTTTCATTGTGGTGTTTCCCCTCTGAAAAATGGAACATTTTCAGCAAAATAAAAATTTTCTGTTCTAAATTTTAAAGTTTCAGAAACTGCATAATCTGCTGCAAAATCCTCCCTTCAGGGGAAAGCCAACCCCCATGGCTTGCAAGTCATTTCCCCTCAGATTCATGACCTTTCTCTGGCACTGTCATTGTACCCACAGGCCTGCTGACAGGCAGCATGTTGGCAGGCAGAGGGAGCACCTGCCCCGGCGCCTGGTGATTCCACAGAGCCCGGAGCCCTCAGCCCTTTCAGTCGCCATGGCAGTGCCCTGCAGCGCAATCCAGGCCATGCTAGGACAGCACGGGGAGCCTGGTGCGCTCAGGGTGGCGCTGAGTCTGGCTCTCCTGTCCCTGCCGCTTCTGCCTGAGGCCCCGTCCCTTCTGGGAGCACAGTCAGTCCAACACATGCACCTTTCCCAGGGTCCAGCCCGGCTGTTGCCTTCCCTGTGTATCCTCATATCTTATTCTTCTTGCTCCATCCCCGGTCCCGGCGCAGTGGGTCTATTTGGAAGACTGGCATAAGCAATTTTAATCAGATGTTCTGGGGACAAAATGGTGGCAGTTTTCACAAATGTTTGGTTTTGGAATCAATACAAATTCTAAAACACCCCAAGCCCCTTTATCCTGCTACCGGGAAATGGAAACATAGTTTAAAAGCCTTTTTTAAAAAGGGAAAATAAAAACTGACCAAAGTGGAAGCGACTACAGAATTCACCCTCTGGGTTTCTCTTCAGTCAGCTCGACTGTGAAAGTTCTTTAGGGAAGCAGGTTCTGCAGGTTCAAAGCTCCTTGCCCAGTGTCAAACCGTTCTCACTGACCCTTTGGCCCCTACTCCCAGGTGAATGGCGTGCTGACCAACCTACCGTACAGCCACAACAGCAGCAAGATCTCCATGTACCGGAGGGGGCAGGAAGCAGTGATCCAGAGCGACTTCGGTCTCACCGTCACCTTTGACTGGCAGAGCCGGATCACCGTCTCTGCGCCAAGCAGCTACGCCGGCGCCCTGTGCGGACTCTGCGGGAACTTGAATGGGGACAAGGGAGATGACTTGACCATGAGGGGTGGCAGGTTGGCCCCAAACCCAACGGCCTTTGGGCAGAGCTGGAAGGTGGCAGATATCCCAGGCTGTGTGGAGGTTGCCAAGGACGAGTGCTCAGATCTAGCAGCTGTGGAGAGACGCCAACGAGGAGTAAGTCAGGAGTGCGGGCTCCTCCTAGACAAGAGCGGCCCCTTCCGAGAGTGTCACAGCAAAGTCGACCCGCAGGGCTACTTCCAAGACTGCGTGTACGACTATTGCTTCTTCCAAGGCCGACAAGCTGTGACATGCCAGCTTCTCACCAGCTACGCCGCAGCCTGCCAGGCCGCCGGGGCGGCTGTCTCTGCCTGGAGGAACAGCTCCTTCTGCAGTAAGTGCGAGCAGCTTGGCACCGCCTGCAGGGCTGAAGGCAGGCGCCATGCAGCCGGGCCGCCGGGGCGGCTGTCTCTGCCTGGAGGAACAGCTCCTTCTGCAGTAAGTGCGAGCAGCTTGGCACCGCCTGCAGGGCTGAAGGGAGAAAAAGCGGCGTGTGTGGTTGGGGCAAAGACGAGCTGGTGGGTGGTCTGGGAAGGGGATTTGAGATGTTTCTGCCATAGCAGTAACAGGCTCCAACCCAGCCCAGGGAGGGGGGACTGGCAGGGTCGGGGGGGGGATAGGGGGAGCTGGGGGGGGTGCTCATCCCCAG